AGCTCATGTCTCCGGCCAAGCTTCCGATCTCCAGGTCCTCTTGCATTACCATCCCTCCGGGCCTCAGCCCCACCTCCTTTCTCGACTCTCCCGTCTTGCTTACCAACTTGAAGGTCACTTTCCTTTTCTTTCTCACTTCATTTCCTATTATGTTTTTCGAATTTGGGGGCCGAGGGTTTCGATCCACCCCCAACAAGCTTTTGAATCTTAGTCTTTGATGGGTTTGCTCTGAAAAGCTTGGAAATTATGTTTCCGTTCATCAATTGTCTCGGCTTGTATCAACGATTATCGAATTTGACAGTGTGTATATGATTTCCTATCGCATACTCTACGGGCTCCTTGACGTCATAATCGCTCTTATTTTACCATTTAGTTCGGTGGCATATGCTTAATTAGAGAATTTTGTGGGACTTGACTGATGTGATTTCGCACAATTGGTTGTTTAGTTGCCAAAACCTAAATTCCTCTAGCTGTTTTTGTTGGTGCGTTTGTAACTGTTGGAATTGCGAACTAATGTTTTTAATATCTTAACTATTAGATATTTTATTTTGGGTGCTTCAGCTGATGGGGCCTGTTGATTCTGATTCCTGCTCTTAGAGCAGTCCACTGCATTGGGTGGCTCCTTTATGCCCTTGTGGGTTATTCCATAAAATTGCTTTAGGGAATAATGCTGTTGTAAGTTTGAGGGAATAATTGTGCTCTCTTTCTAATTCTCAACCCCTCTACTTTCATTTGTGTCTCTCAGTGTGGGTTTTTCACATAATGAATCTAGCTTTTTGGTGGTGCTTCAGCTTTTTCTTCAACTTTGTTTATGTTGTCATGTTGCATGTACGAACCCAAACTTTTTCAATTTGTCTATATATATATATATATAGAATAAGGAGTTAATGAATCTGCTAGATGAACTGTGTTTATTTTTGTTGAATATGCTACAATCGTCATATAAAAGAGACACACATGGTGAAGAATACAGATGGGCATGGACATGGACACTTATTTGACAGATAATTATTTTTGATCATTTGGAGCTTATGGGTTCTATTTTATGCTGTTATCTGTAAGCAGTCCAGGTTTCTGTGTATTTTCTGTTTTGGGATCTAAGAATGTCTTTCGGTTTCGTCCACCTTAAACGTTTTATTCAGTGAATGCTGTTTGGTTTAGAAAAGTAAGAAATCATAATTTTTTTTGGTTTCCTTCCTTCTGTTAAATAGTTGAGTTTTATTGGAGTACCTTAATGTGGACCAGATTTCATAGTGAAGAACCTATATGGAAGTATCATCGCTACTTCATGTTTAATGGCTTTTGAGTTTCCATTGATAGTGAGATAGAAATTTTTATGTTTCTTTTAGTTATGAATAATACTATTAGTTTACGCATTTTATTTAGCTTGCTTCCATAAATTATCACTTGTTGACAGAGGCTTTTGGAAATAACTGGCTTGCAGGTAGAGCCTTCTCCAACTACTGGGTCCCTTACCAAGCTTCCAATGGCACACGACTCTTCAAGTTCAGCTATTTATCCAATGACCACCATGGATTTTTCAAATACTAATGCCTCAGATGCAGGAAAATCAAGCTACTTTGAGTTCAAACCATATGTTGGACCAAATATGGTACTTCCATATAAAATTTTCAGTTGGTTAATTATTATTACATAAGTCAAGGGTGATTGATCAGTCTTGGTCATGGAAAAAAAATATCTCTAGGAGTCTGTAGGACATGTTCTTCATTCACACTTTTACTTTCATAAGACCACACAAGGGGTCTTTGATTTGGACATGCATGTTACTTGAGATCAAGCAACATGATAGGGAAGTCCATCTTGACTGTAGAGATTAGAGTGAATATTAGCAGTTTGATTCTTGAGGGCCTCATTCTTGTTTTTTCATAATATCATTTGTAAGAAAATTACCTGCATGATCCATTGCTAAGCACAAACTTTTACATCAGAACTGGCTCAAAATTACTTTTTCATGCAATCATTTTCTGGCCATACTTACCCAAAATGATTTATTTTAAGGCAATTCTTATGACCATTAAGCTAAAACTTTTTTTCTATTTCTAATTTTTCTTTGACTTTTAAAGTACAATAAGGTAAGCATACAATTTGAGTCTCTGGACTTCCCTAATTTTAACATTTTTGTCCTGTACACATATCAATTTAGCTTCAGACCTTAACTACCCAATTAAAAGTATAACTAAAAGTTCACGTGGCATCATATGAAAGTTGACATAAACTTGATAGTATCATTTTTAAAGTTGAAGTCATACCATGTCAGCTTCCACATGTCATGTAAGTTCTTAGTTTCCAAAATATACTTGATACAGACTTTAATTAATTTAACCTGATAATTAAAGTAGTGTTATTCTACCACTTTTGGTGCTTCTTGCTTAATGATTTTCATTTACTTTTAAGGTTCCTGCAGATTTGAGACATAGGAAAGGTGAACAATCTAGAGAAGTTAAAGTTCAAGGGCAACCTCAACCATGTACTGCTCCTCCCATGACTAAAAGTGAGATCAATGTCATCTCAAATGATTTGAGTCGATCAACCCCTATGGATACAGTTGCCCTAGGGGCTAGTGTTCCTGAAGTTGATGGAATTGATTTCAATCATAGTTTGAACACAAATACCAGGGCTCAACCCCCACAATCTGATCCAAAAGGCAGTGGTATTCCAGTAGTTTCTGATAGGCTATCTGATGATGGATATAACTGGCGAAAATATGGACAGAAGCATGTTAAAGGGAGTGAATTTCCGCGTAGCTATTATAAATGTACACATCCTCACTGTGAAGTGAAAAAGCTCTTTGAGCGCTCTCATGATGGACAGATAACTGATATTATCTATAAGGGTACCCATGACCACCCTAAACCTCAGCCAAGTCGGCGATATACTGCCAGTGCTTCTGTGAATGTGCAAGAAGATGGGTCTGATAAGCCTTCCCCTTTAACTGGCCAAGATGGTACAGAAGAGAACTTCTATCTTAGTTTCAATCTTTGGTATTTCTTTTAGTGTAATACTTCTTCAGAGTGTTAACCATGGTTTTTTCTATTTATTCTCATTTCAGACAAGGCATGCGGCATATATGCTCAAACGGTCCAAACCATTGAGCCAAATGGAACTCCAGAACCACCCCTTGTTGCAAATGATAAGTTCGCTGAAGGTGCAGGAACAACTCTGCCATGCAGGAGTCATGATGAAGTTGAGGACGATGACATATTTGCAAAGCGGAGGTATACTTGTTTAAAGTTTAAATGTTCTCGAGTATTTTGGAAAAGAATGAGTGGCGCGTAGTGTCTTGTAGTAGTTCTGCACTTTTATTTATGAGTTAACTGTTAAGTCAAATTCATCAGGAAAATGGAACTTGGTGGTTTCGATGTCTGCCCAATGGTTAAGCCAATCAGGGAACCGCGTGTCGTGGTTCAAACTCTGAGTGAGGTTGATATACTGGATGATGGGTATCGCTGGCGCAAATACGGCCAGAAGGTAGTGAGAGGAAACCCCAACCCAAGGTATGTTTCCAATAATGATCAGATGCATTGCTATATATCTATTATGTTGCGAACCCATATACATTCAAATCATAACGGTGTTCTGATATTATGATGAAATCCATTGGATCTTGCCTGCATAAAGATGTGAAAAAAGGGATATCATGTTATTAGTACTTAGCTCGATTTTTTTTGCTTTTGTATCTAAATTTTAGTTTCAATCATACTGCATAAATAAGTTTTTTTTTTATAACTTTGAGAAGTCTCACAAGATTGAAATTTGATATTTCAATTATAATGTAATGTGTACGTCTTTCTTGATTATGGTCAATGCTCCATTGTTACATTAACATTAAAGCCACACTCAAACTTATATTTATCATTTTCACAATTCCAATCATGCAGGAGCTATTACAAGTGCACAAACGTTGGATGCCCTGTTAGAAAACATGTCGAAAGAGCATCCCACGACCCAAAAGCTGTTATAACCACATACGAGGGGAAGCATAATCACGACGTTCCTACTACAAAAACTAGTAGCCATGACATTGCAGGCCCACCGACAATTGCACCATCGAGGTATAGACTAGAAGAGAGTGACACCATAAGCCTTGATCTCGGGGTTGGCCTTGGCACTGGCATGGGTGGTGAGAATAGACCAAACGAATACAGGCAGGCATTGCATTCTCAACTTGTTGAAAACCAAACTCCAAACGGAAATTTCAACTTCGAAGAAGCTCAAGAAAACCCAGCCCCAACATACTTTGGTGTTCTTAATAGAGGCATAAACCAGCATGGATCAAGAGAGAGTTTGAGCGAAAGCCACAGCATCGAGATTGCTCCTCTAAATCATTCATCGCACCCATATCCATCAACCATTGGGAGAATACTAACAGGTCCATAAGTTTCAGTCAAGCCATAAAGACGAGACGAGACGCTGCCATTTTTTATTTCCTATATTGTTTTCTTTTTCACATGGATGGTTTAGGACGAAAGTGAATATGTGGAATATTAGAGTTTTATGTTTGGCCTCTGTTGTTTCTGAGCTTCTGCTGGGGTTAACCGCCTGCCTTCTAACTTGTCAGTCAATACATGTACAAATATGATATGAACCATCTGGTATTATTTGTTACACACAAGATGTATCTTTACAATGTAATTCAAATACTGGAAGTATAAGTATTATCCAACAACTCTTACTTTTCATTCTTATATTTATGCATGTAGAGCAACTTACAGCAACCAGTTCCCATAAAATCATCAAAAATACCATCAATAATAACATTTTTCTTCATATGTTTTAACTGGGAACATGCATTTATAACTCCACTGCTTCTCAAATCCAAGCACTAGAGGTAACCAAATTTTGATTCAACCAGCCGAGATATAGAGCTCCATCTTTCTCTTCAAGCGTGTATTTGTCACAGTAGTTTTTTAGCAGTGCCTCAATGGTAGCATTGACAAAAGGGCTTAAAGGGTGTGGTTTGAAGCCAGCCGTGAGGAAGCGTGATCTCCACTTTTCAAGAAGTTCGTGGCGTTCGACCCTTTCGGCTCCCTCACATGCTATAATATTAACAATGTCCCGAGCTAAACAGTGCTGCTCCACATTGATCCGCTCCTTGTGCTCTCTTGAAAGAGTCACATCTATGGATTCGAAAATAGCTGTATAATATTTCAATGTCTGAACGAAACGGGGATAAAAAGGAGCTGTGTTGGTGTTTGACTCGTGCTCAACAAGGGTCACAACCTTTGGAGACAATCCCTTGACCAGACGCAGAATCCGATCCCGGTGATTCTGACTGCCCACAGTCTCATCTGGAATATGGTGCAGCACCAAGGCAAAATTTACAGCAATGGCCTCACCTGGTTGAACTTTCAGATCTTCACGTTGAACTTCAGAAACAGAGGCTGCAATACCATGGAACTCAAAGGGTACCATTAATGACTCTGCCAAAAGTGACAACCTTTTTCCTACAATGTCGAGCCCCCCTCCTCTGGCAAAAGCAGAAGCGGAATCATCGATGCCTGTAATAGTAATCTTCGGGGGGCCTCTAGGTCGATTGGCAAGGGCTTGTATCAATGTGATCCACTGATTTCCCTGTGCTATCTGAAAATCAATTATGTGAACTCTATTTTCACCTTTTATGGCTTCCGCAATTGCCCCATTTCCTGATAGGTACCCAAACTTAAAATAAGGGCAAACTTCATAGAGTATGTGCATGTATGAGAGAAGTTCAGCACCTATCGGCTCTTTACATCTCAAGGCTTTGTAGATAGAACTACCTGAAGAAGCTGTCCTGGCAACAAGTGCCTCTAACATGTAAGCTCCTAAACGCTGGATTGGCTTGCCAAAAACTGAGACCATTCCACGTAACTCTGACACCAACCATTCTCCAGTCAACATATCGTTATCTCCTATTGCTCGTGCACAAGCACAAAGCATCTCTTTCAAATCCTTTCTAGTGATTATCTCAGACACATCTTTCCACTCTACTTCTGGCACAGGTAATTCAGGATGGACTGGATTAGTGATGGAATAGATATCAAGATCCTCATCAGGTCCAAGCATTGCAGTCTCCAATTCCCTGATCTTGTGCCTCAAGTTATCAATAGCATCATCTGTTAGACAAGATCTACTGACAGGCGAACCACAGTTATTGTCAGGAGAATAATATGGGTCTAATGGGTATGAAAGGCACTCTTGGTGTGAAGAGGGGCTTCCATTTGATGCAAAGCTAGCAGTAGAGGAAGAATTTTGAGGAGGGTAAGTACTAGTTCCCGAGGACGACTCAAGGTTGCAGTACTGTTTGAAAGCCTCAGATGGTAAGCGATTTTGTTCGAATACATCATCGGAATACAAGCCTTGATGGTTCATAGGAGGCCAATAATAGGACCCAGGTTCTTGCTGAGGCTGTTCATATAACCTATGAGTTTGAGTTGGAACTTTCTTTCTTGAAGGTTCTTGCATTTGGATTTTATTTCTTACACAAGACGTCAAATCGAGCAATAAGAGGACACTTTTTTAGGGAAAAAAGCCACTCTCAATACTTCACATCAATAGTTCGTGTTCAAGATTCCAAGAAAATGGTAGCCCCAGAGGCTGGATGTAACCTAACAAAGTAGAGAACGAAGGTAAGACATTACAGAAGACGCAAGTAGTACATCAAATTTCTGTGCTACCACACATAACATTTCGAAGCATCAAAGGGTTTAAGCTATGTATTGTCAGATAATCCAAGAACGGTTTATTTGTGCTTAATAGTGTTTGAGATGACTTTTTTTTAAAAATGCTTTTTAAAAACAGTTTTTGTACCAGGCCTTTAAGAAAAATTACTAATTTAGAGTGTGTTTAGTATAGCTTCTTAAGTGATATTAGTCCTGACTAATAGTGTCTTTTAAAAAATCTACCGTGTTTGATAACAAAAAATATATATATTTAAAAAAAAAAAATCGGATCGGTTTAAATACCTTTTTTGAAGAAACACTCAAGAGATGATTATCCAAAACGTGACTTTAAAGAGATTAACACTTCTGTAGTTTTTGAGAAACAATGACTAAAAAAAATAGTTTTTGAACTAAAAGATATGTGAAACTTACCCTAAAGTGTCTATGGAAGAAACATGATAAAGAAAGTTCAAGTTACACATTAGGCAACTGCCCTTATCCATGAACACATAATTTTAGAGATCAAGTTTAATCAGCCAAGCCTGCACAAAACAAGTTCTGCATGTGAATGAATATAAACGAAAATTAAAAAGTAAAAAAAAAAAAAAAAGGCTTTTATCTGCTATGGTTCTCTCTTCTCCATCTTTTTGAAAACTACCAAGAAACATATTATCCCAAATCATACTATATCCTAGAGGAAAATGACATCAAGTGTTTTGGCTCAAAAACGAAATAGGAAATATTCAATATTATAAGAAAAACCTCTCTCTCTCTGTCTAATGTCTCATACACAAAATCTTAAGCTCATGAACTTTGTTTGAAGCTAAAAAGCATGAAAGGGGTAACAAATCTTGCTCTCACCAACATCGAAAAGCTAAGGCCAGGGAGAACCTCATCTAGAAACATGGAAAAAGGCACAAAAACAGTAAATAAAAAGCGTGCGGAGCAGAAAGCAAGGGCAAGATCTGCATATTCTCAAGATAAAGCCACAAAAACGAGAGGAAAAAGATTCGAAAGTGAATAGCAGTTGAATCACAGGGAAAAACAGTTATCGGAGAGAAAATCAAGCCAGAACTAAGATTTCAGTTAACAAATAATAGAAATAATTGCCGAATTAGCATCGAGGATTCGCGAAATTCACAGTAAAATGCAAAATATGAGTTACTACCTTAAATGGAGCTCCAAAGTAAAAGGGAAAAAGGAAAGAGTTGAGATTCGAGAATACGAATTTAAGAAGAAATACCTAGAAGCCATGGGCGTAGAGAAGGTTATCGAGTTCATAAATAGGGATGGAGCTTCACTTATCAACGATTGAGATAGTATCCATTGCTTACCCAAAGTTTCGTTCGGCTATTTGCTCCAAATTCATTTCAGAAAAATTAATTTCAATTTTTAAGGAAGACCACGGAACACGGCGCTCACTATTAACCTTGTTCTTCTCAGTTATTACCTTCTTGCCACTGGATTGGACTACTCACGGTCAAGTTTTAAATGATATTAAAATATCCATATCAATACATATTTTTATAAAATTTAAAAAAAATTAATAAAATATTTAAATTAACAGGTGAATATTTTTAAATATTTGACTGCGTTCTCAGTTCAGTCTAGTTGAGGTGGAAAGGAGGAATAAGCTTCAGAATAATAGGTTTGTTTTAAAAAAATTATTTATCAATTTTTCAAAAAGTAGAAATTTTAAAAAATATATTGGTAGGAGTCTTTCAGATATTAAATTCGAAAATTTAAAATGTATAATTATATTTATTTTGATAAATATACTATTCTTTTATTAAAATTCATTATATATTTTTGAATTAAAACATGTAAGTAAATTATATAATATTTTAAAATAATACCTATACGAAATTTACGACATATATATTAATAATAGATAAAACTAAATATTTAATTTGTAATACTAAACACACCTCAAACAATTTCTTAAATTAAGATTCAATTTGCAATTAGATATAAACAATTTCTTAAATTAAGATTCAATTTGCGACCAGATATACATCTGAGAACACTCGTACTATAGAAAAAAAATATATTTTTTATTAAATCTTTTATTTTCTTATTTTTATTTTTATTTTTATCACCAACCAATGGCCCTTTTAAGTTCGTTTGCAATTTTTCATTTTAAGTTCTAGGTTTTTAGTTTAAGAGACCCTTTTTGATTTGTTTATATACCAGAATGAATAAAATACTGAATTATTTATCAAAGTTATTTAATATTCGAAACATGACTAATTTTAAATTTAATCATTATAATATCGCTTATATATAAGTGATGACTTAAAAAATTAACCGATGAAAATTTTATTTAAATTAAAGTAGGAAAGAAACATTTTTATTTTTATTTTGTTATTTTAATTTTTCATGCGAAATAAATAAATAACTCATTCCGACATTGAAAATTGGTCCACGCGTTTATTATGCCTTTACAGCCATCAAAGCTCAACAACTTTTTCTTTTCACAATCTTGACATTATATTTTTTACAATTATTACTTATCATATTAATTACGTTCCATTTCTCATTCTCAACCCTATCACATTATTTAAGATGCCCTCTACACTTTTAACATTTTCATTTTTATTTCAAAATTTTGTAGAAACAAATCCTTCATCAACCGATCTGTTAAGAAATATGAAAATGTTACGTAGCATTGAACTGCAAAAATAGTGATACGTGTATTACAATTATGCCTCTAAACTTTAAGATACGTTTAATTATATTTTCATCGTCTCAAAATTTTCATTTTAACTTTTAACCATTGAAATTATTTCAAAAATGTCATTCCATTAGTTTCATTTTGATTCAATAAGTTGGTTGTTGGCATTAATATTACTAAACTCATTAAGTGATTTAAACATTATTTTTATTGTAAAAAAATGAAATAATAATAATAAAAAATTTACGTTTTTATTGTCTAGCTAACTCTATTAATAGTGAAGTTATCTCTAATAGAAGGGTTAGAGTAAATGAAAATATTCTATTTTTTTTCTTTCTAAAACATGGAAATCATCTTCTACTTTTAGACAGAATAGTGTTTCTTTTTTCAATTTTTAAAAAATTGACATATTTATATTTAGATAAAAGAAAATTTCTTTTTAATTATATATAAAATAAGTAAAATTTTCATCATAGAAAGACTAGAACATGAGAAGTTTAAGGAAAGATTCGTCGCGTGATTATATTTGCGAAACGCTTAAGAGGAACTTAGTTGCGTGATCCACTGCGCCAACATGTGATCTTGTAAATGTAAGTCTAACCCTTTGAAGTTGAAGAAATTCAAGCCTCATGAAGTTATGGTTGATATGCCGATGAATGTACACCCTTTATAAACAATCCCTTCCATTTTCAAAACTTTTAAAATTCTATTATCTTTTATAATTAAAGTAAAATCATTCATTTATTTAAATTAAAATTTAGAAATAAATCCACAAGAGTTTTTATATATAAGCTTTTTCGTATTCTAATGTTTGCATTATTTTTATTTATAAATTTTATAAATTCATTTAAATGTATCATTTCAATTTGTTTTTTATATTTTACTTTTAAAATTAGTTTAATATTAATTTTTTAAAGCTTTTGAAACTCTATTAATATAATTAATGTAAGGTCATGAACTTTTGATTAGTTCTCTTTTTTTTTGGGTAAAAAATAGAAATAATTAACTTAATAGAAAAAACAATTTTATTTATGGATCAGGTGGAAAAGAGTTTTAATGGTTTTGATTTAATTAGTATTTTCATTAAAAATAAGGGTACTTTGGGTATTATTTTATTGTCTAAAAAAGTTTAGTTCACATCTTGACTTTTATATAAACTAGTGAATTACCAAGTACATCTTTTTTTTTTTTACTTTTTCTTTTTCAATGTTTTTTAATTAATTTAATTATTAATTTGAGTTTTTTATATTAAATAATTATTTTAAATTCATAAAAATTAGTTGGTATAATAAATCAACATTATTATTTTTAATAACTCCTCTATTTTATTTTTTATATTTATGATTAGTAATTAATTAAAATCAATTTTAATAATAAAACAAATTAGTTCACAATGGAAAGTGTTTGCCATTTATATAGTTTTTAAAAATATTTCTAGAACCTAAGTAAAATTTCAAAAGCTAAAAAAAAAAAAGTTTTGAAAAACTGTTCTTGCTTTCTTATCCTACTTAAAAAATATTTTCAAAATTTAAATAAAAAATTTGGAAACTAAAGTCGGGTTTGATAACCTTTTTGTTTTTGGTTTATATTTTAAAAAATTAATTTTGTAAACACTACTTTCATCTATACATTTCTTTGTTTTATATCTATTTTGAAAATTGAAAAAAGTAAAGACTGAGAGTGAGAGTTTGGTTGAGAAGACCTGCACTGCTAAATTTGATTACAAAATAAAGTTTCGTATTCAATTCAATGTCTTGATCTGATACACAACATATCATCCTATTTATAATAGAAAGATTCTAAATCATAATAGGAATAAAACATCTAAATCAAAATGATATCCAAAATTAAATTATAAATCTCACAAATCATATCAAATCAATTCTTAAATCATATCAGTCTCGTAACGTACATGGACCTCACCGATATGGTGCTCTACCGATATAGTGTTGAACTTAAGTTCTAATATAAACAGCATAGTGTATTCGATAGAACACCATATCGATATTAGATTTTTATTTGCATGCATCAAACCCTTGGAAAGGAAGAGCTACATAGACTTCACCTAAAAATCAGACAAGAACAAAAGTGGTTGTTAAAAACGTAATTTTGTATTTTAAATTGATTAAGAATTTAAATGCATTTCCTAATAAGGGTGGGAAAAATTGTTATCAAATCAGATTAAATTTTTGTTTTTCCTTTTTTTTAATGAACAATTATTTTGTTTTATAAACTCAATAAATGTGGAATATTTTTTTTAATTATTTATGTTTTTGATTGGGAAGCATGAA